GCAGGAAGGAGTTCCAGGAAGCGCCCTCCTGCTTTGCATTGAAGATGTCACTCTGACATTTGCCAAAGCAGTGTCCATGGTCCATGGGTCACTAGTGGAAGGACAGCTGGTTGAAGGGCAGTTCCCTGTGAACAAGAATTAGATCCATGTGGTGCAGACCACTCTTTGGAGGAAGGGGTGTGTGCAGGTGAAGACAGAGAAATACTCCTGCCCGCTGGAGCTGCAGGGCCAGGCAAAGGCCGGGAACATGCTGGTCCCTAGGGAAGAGGTGGTCAGTATTGAGGAACCAGAGGCTCTGAGGAAGGAGGGCCACACGTTCCAGGCCAACCAGGGCTATGCAACAAGCAAGGCCATTCTGAGCTACGTACTGAGACCTTTCCTCAAAAGACCTAAAAATATAAATTCAGAAAGAAAATAGTGGATATTCCAGAGGAGCTGAATTGGAGGCTTTGCCTCCACAGGCCGGGGAGTTGAGAATTAACAAAAAGAAGAAAAGAAAGTAATGGGCATAATGGCACACACCTTTAATCCCAGCACTCGGGAAGCAGAGGCAGGTGGGTCTCTGTAAGTTCAAGGCCAGCCTGCTCTACATAGTAGGTTGTAGGCTATCCAGGGCTACATAGTGAAAATAATAATAAAAATTTTTTTAAAAGGACTGGAAATCCTCCTCACCTCTCAAGGTTTATCCATATCATGGTTTTCCAGCCACCCTATATACATTGTGTAAATGTACATGGCAATCAAACCGTTTACTGGGAAATCAGCCTCCTGGAAAGGGGATTGATCAGCAGGGAGGCTCTCTCTTTGATCAGCAATTGAACATGCTGTTCTCTGACTTGGAGCCTCTCCACACTCTCATCCCTCTGCCCCTGGCAACTTTTGTTTCTCTGTAAGATCAATGTAGACATCCCATCCTCTAGGACAGTGGCTCTCAATCTTCCTAACGCTGTGACCCTTTAATACAGTTCCTCCTGTTGTGGTGACGCCCGAACACAACATTATTTTCCTTGCTACTTTATAACTGTAGTTTTGCTACTGTTCTGAATCATAAAGTAAATATCTGTGTTTTCTGATGGTCTTAGGCGACCCCAATGAAAAGGTTGTTCAACCTCCCAGGGGTTTGTGACTCAGAGGTTGAGAACCATTGCTCTAGGAGGCCTTTCCCAACCCTTCACTATCCATTATGAAAAGAAAAAAGAGAATATGGATAGGATAAGATAAAAGGGAGATTATGTAATCTACTTTTTAAAAGGAACTACTTGTTTTAAATAAGATAAGTAATGAAAATTTTTTTGGTCTGAATTTATCAGATGTTACTGGACTGGGACATTGTTAATATATATAATAAAGTTTTTATCTGAATCTGTCAAATGTTAATGGACTAGATATCATTAATGTAATTTTTGGCTGTATATATTGTATATACTTATTGGATAGTTTTTCTTGTATTAGTTATAAGCTTTTTTATTTTTAGACAAAAAAGGGGAAATGTGGTGGTATTGTGTTCCCCAAAATATTGTGCACCCTAATAAACTTCCTCTATCCTTGATGATAACTGTTACTTTATGAGCTCTCTTTCCCCTGACTGTAGAAACTGTCTTGTCTATTGGTTACTCTCTTCTGTGTTTGGCACTGTATAGCTGGCTGGAGTCCCTGAGGAGAGGCCAGGAGAGGCCATTAGTGAGACTGAAGACTCAGTTGCATCAGTTCTTACCTCCATGTTCCTATCTTGAGTTTTTTTTTAATTAGTCTGTGGGGGGGGGGGAGGGGGACAGGGAGAGAGCCTTACAAAATCTAAGGAGGTGCCAGGCGGTGGTGGCGCACGCCTTTAATCCCAGTACTCGGGAGGCAGAGCCAGGCGGATCTCTGTGAGTTCAAGGCCAACCTGGTCTACAGAGTGAGTTCCAGGAAAGGCACAAAGCTACACAGAGAAACCCTGTCTCAAAAAAACAAAAACAAACAACAACAACAAAAAAAAACCCACAAAATCTGAGGAGGAAAGCCTTATTTTAGCTCATGGTTTCAGAAGGTCCTGTCTCTCGTGGGGAGGGCAGTGGTAGAGCACAGCAGCTCACATCGTGGTGGACCTGGAAGCAGAGAGAGCAGGACAGGAAGCAAACCGAGTCAAATGTCTCGGGGGCTCACCCGGTGGCCTACTTCCTCCATGTTGGCACCATGTTCCAAGTTTCTAGAGCCTCCCCAAACAATGTCACTATCTCAGGAACGCAAATCACGTATCTATGGACTCAAAGTGCTAGGGACCTGTGGTGGTTTGAATGTAACCGGCCCCATAATCAAAGGGAGCGGCACTGTTAGGAGCCGTGGCTCTGTTGGAGTGGGTGTGGCTGTGTTGGAGGAAGTGTGTCACTGCGGGGGTGGGCTTTGAGGTTTCCTGTGCTCAGGATCCCTCCCAGTCTCTCAGACCATTTTCTGTTGCCTGCAAGATGTAGGACTCGCAACTATTACTCCAGCATCATGTCTACCTGAATGCCACTGTGCTCCCCATCATGATGATAATGGACTGAACCCCTGAAACTGTAAGCAAGCCACCCCAATTAAATGTTTTCTTTATGAGTTGCTGTGGTCTTGGTGTCTCTTAGAAAGCCAAACTAAGACAGTACTCAAATCCTAAATCTATGGAGGACGTTGATACCCAAACCATAGCAGTGGCTTTGTCTGGTCTTGAACCCCTCATTCTTCTACCACAGGCTCTGCGTTGTGCTGGGATTATAGGTTACAACACCGTGTCTGACCTCTATAAATCTTTACCGCAAGAAAGACTTCCTCCAGGTACCTGGAGCTGGAATCTGGAACTGAACTTGGAGGCCTTCCAGAGGAGAGGCAGCTGGCACATTCCTCACAGCGGGTGTCTGAGTCTGCATCCTGGAGAAGGCATAGCCATGCTCTCTGTTCAGCCTCAGGGGCACCCTTGCTCAGCTTCTTCTCAGGACAACAGCTCTCCATCCTAAGCGCTCCAGATGTTGCTGGTACCAGTTCCTTCAAACCGTCAGGAGGTTGATCTTCACTAGCTGCTCCCTACCCCTACCATCTCATCAACCTAAGGCCAATACTGTAAGCAGTGCTAATGGTCTATAGAAGGGACTAGATGAGGTGGGGGCTGAAGACCCATTGCAGCCCTCCCGACTTGAGCTGGACTGAGGTTCTAATGGTCTAGATGTCCACTCCCCCCACCCCCACCACCATTGGTGGGCTAGGGAAGGTGATGAGATAGAGACACAGTCAAACACAGTCATGTTTTCGTATGGAACTGTGTGCTCGCGCACACACACACACACACACACACACACACACACTACCACATATACACACTCTGGCTCTTTGGTCTAGAGACAGGCATCAAGGGAATGTGTTTCAAGCGAACTGAATGGTGGTGGGTAGTGTTCCCTTGATTCCCTTCCCACTATCAGTGATGCTGCCAGAGGGCTGGAGATGGGACCATAAAAGGATGGTGTCTTAGTTAAGAATATCATCTCTGTGATGAAACACCATGGCCAAAAACAACCTGGGAAGGAAAGGGTTTATTTGGCTTACAAGTCTGTATCATAGTCCATCACTGAAGGAAGTCAGGACAGGAACTCAAACAGGGCAGGAACCTGGAAGCAGGAGCTGATGCAGAGGCCATGGAGGAGTACTGCTTTCTGGCTTGCCCCACATGACTTGCTCAGCCTGCTTTCTTTTTTTTCTTTCTTTTTTTTTGTTTTGGTTTTTCGAGACAGGGTTTCTCTGTGTAAGCTTTGCACCTTTCCTGGAACTCACTCTGTAGACCAGGCTGGCCTCGAACTCACAGAGATCTGCCTGGCTCTACCTCCTGAGTGCTGGGATTAAAGGCGTGCGCCGCCGCCGCCGCCGCCGCCGCCGCCGCCGCCGCCGCCGCCGCCGCCGCCACCGCCACCACCACCACTCAGCCAGCCTGCCTTCTTGTAGAACCCAGGACCACCAGCCCAGGGGCAGCATCACCCACAATGGGTTGGACCCTCCTCCATCAATCACTAATTAAGAAAATGCTCCACAGGCTAAGCCGGGTGGTGGTGGTGCACGCCTTTAGTCCTAGCACTTGGGAGGCAGAGGCAAGTGGATCTTTGTGAGTTTGAGGCCAGCTTGGTCTATAGAGTGAGTTCTAGGACAGCCAAGGCTACACAGGGAAACCCTGTCTCAAAAAACAAACCAAAAGAAAAAAAAAAGAGAGAGAGAGAAGAAAAGAAAAAATGCTCCTCAGGCTTGCCTACAGTCTGATCTCATGGAGGCATTTTCTTAATTAAGGTTCCCTCCTCTCCCACAACTCTGGCTTGCATTGTTGACATAAAACTAGCCAGCACAATGGGGACCAACAATGTATATTTAAAGGAGAATTTAATTCACTGGGTTGGAAGAATGGGGGTAATGATGTCAGAGCACACAACTGACCACACATCCCCTCGGCCTCCACCTCACCATCTGCTTGTTCTTCATCCTTCTCTGTCTGCCCTAGGCCCTGTTATCAAGGTAGCCAGCCGCTGTCCGCCCTGCGCCTTGCTGACATCTACCCTCCTGTTCTTTGGAATCTGTTTTCTCTCCACCGGCTGACTCCTTCCTTCCCAATCCATAGTTCCACATCAACCTGTGGGAGAACAGAGGATTGGAGCCGGACAGAGAGAAGGAGGCGAAAGGTTCCATAGTCTGAGCTCTTGAACACCTCATCTCTCTGTTCAGAAACTGAGCAGCAGGAAAAACTGTCCCCAGTACTTCCCCTCCTGGCCCAGCCTGGGATCTGGCCAAGCCAAGGCCCCCATTCCACTGCTTCTCATTCCCCCTCCTGTAAGAGAGACAGTGGAGATGGAGGGAGCGATCGGCTGGAGTCCAACATTTCCTCAGAATTGATAGAAGAAAGGCAGGGCACGGGCCGTACTACAGGCCACCTACTTCTTTAGGTCTCAAGAACTCCGGCTATCCACTCCCCACACACTGGATATTGGTTTAAAAAGAAAAAAAGAAAGGACAGCTCATGATCGGGCCCACTTATTTATTTTGATGAAGCAATATAGTCACATGGTTCAAAATTCAGTATGTTCCCAGAATGGCATGCAGTACCCAGTGTCTGCTCTCACCCATCTCCTCCCCGGAGGTAACTGGTGTTCCTCACTTCTCAATGCAGAAATAAACAAATATGCACATATAACCTCCTCGCTTTTAGTTTTTCTTTGGTCTTTAAAGTATTCTTTTATTTCTCTTTATATGTATGTGTCTGTGTGGGGGGGGTATGTGCCTGAGTATAGGTCCCCATGAAGAGGACATTGGCTCTCCTGGAGCTGGAGTTACAGGTAGTCGTGATGCTGGAAACCGAACTTGGGTCCCCTGCAAGAACAGTGTATCCACTCTTAACCACTGCGCCATCTCTCGGGTGCCTTTCTCTCATTTTTAGCAGTGCTGAGAATTAAGCCCAAGACCCTGTACATGATGGGCAAAAAAATATATCTATCTATTGTAAAGCTGTGCCTCGGAGCCAGGCAGTGGTGGCACATGCCAGTAATCCTTGCACTTGGGAGGCAGAGGCAGGTGGGTCTCTGTGAGTTCCACCCAGCCTGGTCTACAAAGCAAGTTCCAGGATAGCCAAGGCTGTTGCACAAAGAAATCTTTCTTTAAAAAAAAACAAAAAAAGATAAAAGAAAAACAAAAACACGAAACAAAATAGCTGTGCCTCGGGTACTCTACCACTGAGCCACACTTCTAGCCCTCGGTTTTGTGAGATAAGGTCTCACTGTGTAGCTCAGTCAAGCCCCCAGCATGGAGTCTGGGATGACAGCTGTGCACCATCACATCCCTCTATATTCTCCTCCCTTTAAAAACACGAGCTGGGAATGAACCGTAAACATTTCTACATGCCCCTTCCCTCTGAAGGTTACTTCCTACTCACATGGAATGGCATCTAACAGTTTTTAGCTTAGTTGGATTGCACTTGAAGACTGTGTCACAATGGGCCTGGCCTGGTCAGTCTGCTCGGGAACGATGCGCCTTGTTTCCAGTCACTTGGTGTTTCCTTGTACCCTCCCTGTCCAGATCTCAAGAAAGTCAAGCAGTGATGGGAAACCGTGAAAAGCAGGTCCCACCAAGCCATGCCTCTCTCTCTCATACTCATTTGCATGCTTGCCTCTGATTGGACGGCCCTTGGTTTGGGCGTGGCGTCTCAGGGCTTTCTGTTTCTCACCTTTGAGGTCAACACATGGTTTCTATTCCACTGCCCCAAAGTGGCTACTACAGGGCACAGAGGACGTAGTCATGCAGAGACATGGAATAAAATAACCATTTGTCATAATCCTAGCAACTCCGAGCCACCTGCTGTCTCTAGACCGAGTGCCGAGCAGGACTGTAGCGCGGGACAACTCCTACTCTTGATACGTGGTAGATGTTAGGAGACAAACAAGCTTGGTCCTTTCCAATAAGACGTTCCATTGCACCTTTGAGATTTCCACAGCCTCGGGGCCAAAGGAAGGGATTGCAGTTGAGAAATCAGGGCTGAGAGGACACGAAGGGCAGACGTCTCTTTGGACTGAGTGGGAAATCACAGAATGTAAGAGTAAGCAGGAATCCAGGAGGTGTGGGCAGGAGAGAGGAAGGAGAGATGGAAGAGGCTTAAGTGAAAAGGAGCGTGGACAGGGGTCCCCTTCACAGCCCGTCTCTGGAAGGTCAAGACTCAGGGAGTCCCTACTTTGGGGTCTCTAGAGAATTATCCTCATTGCAGAGTCTTCAAAGTGACCGTAAATTTTTTAATAAAAGCCAAAAAGAAAAATGAAGAAAGGAACCATCTGAAAAAGCCCATAGACTCCAGACTCCTAGCCAGGCTACTCGTCTCCCGAGGCAGGAACTCAGTACAGCCGCTCTCAACAAAGGCCAGTGTCCCTGTGGGTCGGGCATCATGCTCAGGATGTTCCAGGCAGGGAGAGAGAGACAGGAAGTGCAGCACAAGAGAGAGGAGACATCAGAGACGTGTGGACAGAAGGAACCAGACAGACCTGTACACTGCCAGCTGCTGCTCTCCGCACCTCTTTTCCCAGGGCCCTTGGCTAGACTGTCCATCCACGGGACACTTATTTGTGAATAAAGCCCGCATGGGAAAAGGCAGGGAGGTCTGGCGCACAGGTGGCAGTCTGGGACAAGCAAGCCAGGGGGTTGACCTCACAGGCACTGGCATTCTGGTCTCCTCGGAAATAGACGGAGTCGGCAGAGTAGATGGAGGGATCTTCATCAAAGAAGTTGTAGGGCCGGAGGAAGAAGCCCACCCCGTTCCCCACAGTCACGGTGTTGGGAACGTCTTCTGCATGTGGGATGTGCAAAAAACCAGCTGTTACCCAGGCTACCAAGTCCTAGCAGGAGAGAGAAAAAAAAAAAAGAAGAAGATGGTGAGGTTGACTAGACACAGCCTCCCTCCACAGTGGCCTGTTCACGAGTTCATAATTCTTGAATCTTTAAACAGTGTCTCCTTTGGATGTCCCAGAAGTCAAAACATAAAAAGCTCATTCCATTTCGGGAACAATGGCTGCCTCCTTGAGACTGGCTTGCACTTCCATCTCTGATATTTCCCATCACAATGCTTTTTGCCTGCTCACCCCAGAGGGTGATCACCATAGGCTACTTCTGCTTTTCTTCCCTAACTCTCTGAGCCCCCAGAGTGTAACTCAGGGAAGAACTGTGGAACCGGGGCATTCAGGCCTTAGAAGGTGGGAGCTGACTGACATGTAGAATGCACCCTTCGAGGCAGGGATGGAAGCTGTGATCTGTGTTTTATCTCTGGTAACTTCTAGCCCTCTGTGAATCCTCAGGCCTGGAAACGGCTCAGTTGACCAAGCTGGGACTTGGAGGGCTTTAGGACCCAGTAGTTAGCACATGACTTCTTACCTCTGGGAGAGTCTCTCTAGGGCAGTGGCTCTAAACCTGTGGATCACGACCCCTTTTGTGGGGTCACACATCAGATATCCTGTCTACCAGATAGTTATAGTATGATTCATAACAGTAGCAAAATTACAGTTATGAAGTAGCAATGAAATAATTTCATGGTTGGGCGTCACCACAACGTGAGGAGCTGTACTAAAGGGTCGCAGCGTTAGGAAGGTAGAGAACCACTGATCTAGAGGTAATGATCCCATCCAGTAACATGCAAAAGGCAGACAGACTCCTCTTCTGAGGAGTTCGTTTGGTTTTCAGGGACCCGTCTGTAAGCAGGTGAAGCTCATCCTTGTACCCGATCTCTGTTCATGCCCTCACCAGCTCACCTGCCCAGCGATGGTCTCATTATTGATGAAGTCAGTGAAATCCACAGTGGGGGTCCATGGGTCATTCTGGTTGAAGATGCTGGAGCTTCCAGGCTCCTCCTCCTTCCTCTGCGTCACAGCCAAGTGGTACCTAGAAGGGCACTGGTTAGGTTTCCACGGCCGCCAACCCCATCGTGACACCCATTTATGATGGAGGCAAGCTCTGTGCTCTGACGGGCTTCCATACGTACTCACACAGCAACGCCAGCCCGTAGAACTCCTGACACCCCACCGAAGGGTCACGTCACACCCCTGCCATTTCACAGTACAACCCTCCCCTACCACCCGGAGAGAAGAAAGCTCTTCCCTGGCTTAGGTCCTCCAAGGTGGAATGACACCCTACCCCGCCCCTTGTGCCCAGAGACAGGCAATGTTTGAAGCGGTATGAACTGTTTCCAGGCATCCTCTGCTCCTGATGCCTCCCAGGGCTCACCTCCCCAATCTTCTCGGACCCCCCGCCACTCACCTCCCCCAGCTGATGGATTTCTCTATGGGGCTTCCCTGAGGCAGTGGCTCCCCAGCAAAGCTGACTGTCTGGATGCGGTAGCCTCTCCTATGACCCCACTTGTTGCTGTGGTTACTGGCCAGGTACAGGTAGCGTGGGGTGGCACCCCCCAGGGGGAAGGCAGCCTCCTCTTCCGTCTCCAGTAGTTTCCGGGTCACCTGCAGCCTCTGTATCTGGTACTCGGGACTCCAAGGTACGTTCATGGGGACAAAAGCCATGTCCTCTGCCCAGGCCCAGTTATTCAACCCTGTGTGAAGCGTATATGGGCAAGTCATTCGACCACTCTGGACATTTCTGGCATCCACCTGGCTTCCGAGGAGGGACCAAAGGGCACCCCAGGAGTGACTGGTTCTTTGCTTCCCTCCTTGTCCCAAGATCTCCCCAATCCTTCAGACAAAACTATCAAGCTGTAAATTGGAATATTCAGGTGCCGGAGATCAGGCTCAGCAGTTAAGAGTGCATACTGACTGCTCTTCCACAGGTCTGGAGTTTGTCTCCCAGAACCCATGCTGAGCCGCTCGAAAGTGCCTGGAAAGAACTCCAGCTCCAGGGGGATCCAACGCCTTAGGTTTCCAGGGGCATGTACAGCTCATGTACACAACCCATAGACACAGAAGTAACAACAAAAACGAAATCGGTTTGTTTGTGTTTGTGTTTGTGTTTTGAGACAGGGTTTCTCTGTGTCACCCTGGCTGTCCTGGAACACACTCTGTAGATCAGGCTGGCCTTGAACTCAGAGATGAGCTTGCTTTGGTTTCTTTCTTTCTTTCTTTCTTTCTTTCTTTCTTTCTTTCTTTCTTTCTTTCTTTCTTCCTTTTCTTTTTAATTTAGTGGCCTGTGCTTATCCCTGAGGACAGAGTTGAATAAACTGTGTCATTACCCTCAGTCTCTCACAGGCTCACAGGGGTCAGAGAATCCACAGCCTGGCCCTGTAGGGTGAGGAGGCCTGAGTGAAACAGGGTCAATGATCCAGGAATATAGGTGCAGGCAGGGACAGGATTTCCTCAACCCCCAGGACACCATTTCTATCTACCCTTAAAGGATATCATCAAAAGAAATGTCCTGCAAGGGCCTTCTAGGTAGGAGTAACGCCTGAATTAAACCAGAAAACCTGTGGACTATGTGCCCAGGCCCTGGGAGCATGTGGGCACAGCCACAGCAGAGCACCGGGGAGACCCTCGGGGTGGGCAGAGCTGGCAGAAGGGAAGTCCTTCTGCAGGTGACATCCTGCAGGTGCCGAGAAGTCGGCAGCTGCAGCTGCAGCAGGCTGGTATGCGTGGGACAGCTCTCTGTACACAGAGGGGACCCCAGAACTAAAAGCATCAAGAGTGGGCTGACACTGGGCAGTGGTGGTGGCGCACACCTTTAATCTCAGCACTCAAGAGGCAGAGGCAGGTGGGTCTCTGTGAGTTCAAGGCCAGCCTGGTCTAGAAAGCGAGTTCCAGAACAGCCAGGGCTATACAAAGAAACCCTGTCTCAAAACACAGGAATGGAAAGAATGTGACTCTGTGAGAACTCTGAGCTATTTCATATTCAGAACAGAAAAAAAAAAATCAGGTGATGATTCATTGTAGGGGAGGAAAAAGGGAAAGATGATCTTCAGGAAATCATGGAGCCTTGGTTGTCTGTGTGACCAGAAACTCCAAGAGCCTTCTAGAACTCTCCACAGTATTTACTGGACCACTGCACTGAAGTGAATGGCGTCCAGAAAGAAATGAAAAACCAGGGAAGAGGAGGGCCTGACTCCCGAAGAAATGCAGAGGAATGGTTGTTCCAGGCCTGACTTGCATGCACAGGGACTCAGCAAACCCAAACACATCCTCCAGCACTGCCACACCACAGGCCAGACAGAGCTGAGCTGGAAAACGAACAGCTGCTTGCTTGAACAGAGGCCCATGTAAGCTCAAGAGACTCTGTGAAAGCAGATCCTGCCTTCTCCCTGAGCTTAGCCATTCCCAAGATTTCCTAAGGAGGTCACACGTATAGAAACTGGCAGCTGCCGGGCAGTGGTGGTGCATGCCTTTAATCCCAGCACTTGGGAGGCAGAGGCAGGTGAATCTCTGTGAGTTCGAGGCCAGCCTGGTCTACAGAGTGAGATCCAGCACGGGCACCAAAACTACACAGAGAAACCCTGTCTCGAAAAACCAAAAAGAAAAAAAAGAAAGAAAAAGAAAAGAAAAGAAACTGGCAGCTTTGCACCCAGCTAGGCAGCTAAGATCCAAGTAAAACCCCATTGCCATCTCTCTCCCAGTCAGCCCAAAAGGAAACCTGAAACCCCAAATCTTTCTTTTGTGAATGACACTTACTCCCCTCCTGGAAGACCCTTCTCCCCATCAGGATATCTTACCTGCCACATCCAGGTCCACTTTGTAGTGAGCACTGTGGGCGTGCACCGTACCCAGCGTGTGCTCCCCAACTCGGTTTCCAAACCTTTCACCAGCACCAAAGAAGAATGCTGAGCTGATGTAGCCCGTGGCATGGAATTTGACTTCTATGGCCCCGTTGGGGTGGAAGATCATGTCCCACACATAGTCATAATTGAGCAAGGTAGCCACAGATCTGACCACGAGCACGGTCTCCGCAACACCCCCAAAATAGTGGGAGTAGTAATCTGAGTGGTGTCGCCGTAGCGGGAGGCCCTGGTTCTGTTCAAACACACAAAATGCATCGCGTAGTGTCTTGGGGTCCTGAGATTCCTGAAGGAAATGCCAGTCCATGTAGGTGGCGAGGTAAGGACAGTCCACCCCACGGGTCAGGGAGGTAGAGTATTTGCCAATGCCAAAGCTGCCGTCCATATAGCAGGTCGTCATTGCTGCTGGAGAATTGCCACCATACAGGGCTATGGCCTCCTGGACACTGATTTCATAGGCCACTCTCTCCCCTTTAAAGCAGATATCAAAGACCCTTGGGCCACTGAAAGCTCCAAGGCCAAAAGAGAAAGTCCACAAAGAGGAGGCCACTCGACTCCCCTGGACACTGAAGCGGGGTCCCTGGGGATGAAACTGCAGGGGGGGAGCTGGACCTGGTGGCACTGAGGACTTTAGGGACCAGGACCCACCGGTGCCATTGGCTGGTACCACCACCACATTTACCTGGCCGGCCTCAAAGTGGTCCTCCAGATTAACCAGACTCTCAAAGTAGCGGCCTTGATAAAATACCTTCCGGATGGTCCATAGGGCAGGGTCCAGGGCCTTGTGGTCTATCAGCAGCTCCAAGCCAATAGGGTGTAGGTAAAAACCAGTCCCTGAGAGGTTGTAGTACAAACCGAACCAGGTGGCCCGGTCCCCTGATTGCAGACCACGGGGGGCTGAAGTCATTTTTAGCAAGTTGTGTCCCCCATGTTTGTAGAAACAACAATGATGGAGGAGCCCAGAAATCTTGGGCAGCTCTCTGCGGAAGACCATTTGCTCGATATCCATATACTCTCTGGCTAGCACAGGACGCCGGTAATAGGGAATAGGGCCACCATGTCGCTCCACAGTCACATCCCGCATGTAGGATGGGTGAGGCAGGGGCCCCACCACCAGCTCAGTCACATTGGGCTGGGGTTGTGCACCAAAGAAGATGATGGCCAGCGCCTCCCGGGCGGGCGGGGGCGCCCCTCTGTCCAGGTGGGCCAGGGCTGCAGCCTTAGCAGGCAGCTGCAGCTCCACTGAGAAGACGCAGTTGTCCGAGGGCCGAGCCTGGGCTGCATCCACCAGCCCTGGGCCCAGGTGCTTGGTCAGAAAGCTCATCACAGCTGTCAGCTCCTCGGGGCTCAGGTCTGCAAACAGCTGGCTCTGGCCAGGATTGGTCCAGGGCTGGGCACTGGGAAGAATGGACGGACAATGGAGAGGTTGGCCCAGGCCACCTCCATCTCCGCTCCTACCGGCTAACAAGACACAAACCAAGGCAAAAATGGTGATGACAGCCAATGCCAGAAGCACCAGGGTGGTCTTCTGGGTCATTGTTCTTGAAGACGGACAGGCTTTTTAGCAGAAGTGGACTCTCTTGGTTAGGAGTCTGGACGCTAGCAGAACGTCTTTGTTTTCTGATGCTTTTGCTGAGGGTGGGGAGCAGGGAGGCTGGAGCCGGAGCTGGGAGGCGGGTCTGAGCTGGCGGCAGTGATATCCACAGACCTTACATGGCTTTGTCCTCCAGCTTCCAAATCAGACTCTGCTCTCTGGGTCAGGGTTTGGGTTGAGAGAAGGGGGAGGAATCCAGCCTGTGCATGGAAACCCACTACCAGTAAGGAGTGGGGTCCGCTCCATAGGCCTGTGCCCCTCCAAGTTCCTCCCCAACTCCCACCTTCCTAGGGCCAGAAGCTTTCTCTGCTTTCTCTGTGAAGTATTCTTTTGCCAAGGAAACCCCCACTTCCAGCCTCTTTCCCAAGAAACATTCCTTGGCCAGGTCTACACTCCCTCCCTGCGGATCTTTCTGTTGCTAAATTTCCTTGGCTAGGGTTCTTAATATTCTCCTGGGAACTCCACAGGCTTTAAAAAGCCAAAGAGAATAAACTCAAGTCAAAATTTTGCAAACCGTTTTATTATCAATTACACATAACAACCATTCTTTTTAAATACACACGCATAAGATAAGGCCTGGTATAATGTGAACCCCAGCAAGTTTTGAAATGGTAGGATTTGTGGTATTTTGTTTGAGTATTCCAAAAACATTTTTAAAATAAATTATCATTTAAATAACTAGGAGGAGCCGGGCGCAGTGGTGCATGTCTTTAATCCCAGTAGAGTGCAGCGGCAGAGGCAGACAGATCTCTGCCAAGTTGAAGCCAGCTTGGTCTATCTGGCAAGTTCCAGGACAGCCAGGGCTACACAGAAAGACCCTGTCTCAAACAGAAACAAACAAACAGCAAAACAAAACACAGGAGGCAAGAATCAACCCTGAAGAGGAAACCCAAGGGTTTAGTGTGGAAAGAGGCTGTTTTCTAAGGAACAGAGTGGGGGGGACCTGGGGAGGGGCAGGCAGGACAGAGGAGGTGCATGCATCTCCTTCCCTGGGGTCTTAACCACACCTCAGGCCTATAAGCCTTCATAAGAAAAGGAGGGCAAGTTAGGGGCACAGGCTGCCAGCTGTGGGGCACAGGCCACAGGGTTGACACTGCAGAGTCCCGCATCCTGGTCCCTCTCAAAGTAGACACTGCCAGGGGAGAGGATCGAGGGATCTTCATCGAAGAAATTGTAGGGTCGGAGCAAGAAGCCCACGCTGTTCCCCACAGTCACTGTGTTGGGGATATCCTCAGCATGGGGGATGTGCAGGAAACTGGCTGTCACCCAAGCCACCAGATCCTGTAGGAAGAAGAGGGAGGCCTTTGGAGGCAAAGACTCTCCTCTTAGCTGCAGTTTCTCAAGCCCCAGCCTGGCTTCTGCCTCTGCCAGCCAACAGAACACCTCATGACCTGTGAAGGGAGCTGGCAGTGTGCCAGTGTCCTGACTAATTCCCCCCCCCCCAGGAGGGATGACCTGTACTGGGCAGAGGCTGGATGGCCAAGATGCCAGGAAAAGAGAAGGCCTTCTCCTCTATCTCTGAAGCCACCGACCTCTCCTAAGAGGGTTTCATTGTTGATGAAGTCAGCAAAGGCCATCTTCGTCGGGGTCCGCAAGTCATTCTGGTAATAGATGCTGCTGCTGTGGCCCTCTTCCTCCTTCCTCTGGGTCACCACAAGCTGGTATCTGACCAAGAATTATAAGAAGGTAATGTTGGAAAGATCAAAGCTTTACTGGCCTTCAAGCCCCTTGGCTCAGATTCTGAGACCATTTCCTATCCCACATCTACTTGAATCTGAAGGCAGGTCCAGTGTCCGTGAGTGCTTCTGGGGGACAAAGTCCTTCCCTCCCACCCATGCCCAGGGCCCTCCTCACCTCCCCCAGCTGAGAGCCCTCTCCACGTCGCTCTCCAAAGGTACATGGATACCAAGAGGGCTGTGGACCTGGATTCGGTACCCGCGCTGGTGGCCCCAGGCATTGGTCTGGTTGGTAGCCAGGTATAGGTATCGAGGCAGGGGGCTCCCCCAGGAAAATGCGGCCAGGTCCTCCCTGCTCAGGACCTGCCTGGTCAGCTGTAGGCGCTGTAGCTGGTGCTCCGGGTTCCAGGGAGCTGCTACAGGCTTAAACACCGCATCTTCAGCAACCACCCAGTTTTTCAAACCTGTCAGGGTAAGGAAAGGGAGAGGTCTACCCTGGGGTGAGGTTGCTAGCACAGGCTGCTTGGTCTCGTCTTGATACCTGTATTTCTGGCCTGACCGAAGGCATCCGCGTACCCTGTGCTGGGAGTCCTGCGCTTAGGCAAGTGCTAGCCTGGTTTCTTCCAACCCACCGTTTCAATCGGATAACCATCAGTCACATGTGGCTACATATATTAAAAATTCAGCTCTCCAGTCATACTAGCTGTATTTAAAGAGCTCAGTATTGCTAAGCATAGTGGTACATACCTGCAATCCAGCACCTGGGAGGCAGAGGCAGGAGATGATTGCAAAGTCAAGGCCAGACTGAGCTACATAGGGAGCTCCAAGATAATCAGGGCTACAGTGAGACCGTCTTTAAAAAAGAAAAAAAAAAAAGGAGAAAAAAAGGAGTATGTCCGAAGCCAGTCTACTATTCAGAGCAACACAGTTTGAAAAAAACCGCTTGGCAGTCACATACAGCTAGAGACTTTTATAGCCAGCCACAACACAGAAGGCCCTATTAGCATCAGCCTACATAGACCCTAGAACAATTTGCTTCTGACTCTCACCTTCTGAATCTCTGTGGCAAGCACAATATTGTTTTATGCCTCTGTTCAATACACGGAAAAGCACATATGCTGACTGAAACATTCCTGTGACTACGAGAGACCGGAAGCGACCTGGAAAACCCAGTCCTCTTCCACGGCCCCTGCATATTCCTCCCAGCTCTGGGACTCCATTCTCTCAGCACAGGGGACGCTACTGCCAGTCTTTCGGAAGTAAGCGTCACGGCTTTCTACTACCAAGGAGCTTCTCGAACCCTAGCATGCATCCAAACTCTGCATCTCCCAACACAGTACTTGGATCACTTTTCCCTCAAGGGTCAGGACATTTGGTTCCCTTAAATGTGACCATGATACACACGAGAAACCTAGTATCTGGCAGCAGGCTCTTTTATGCCAAAAGCTGTTGAGAATTTTCCAATTGGAGAGTCACAGTCTAAGTATATCAGATTATAAACTATGGCCATCATGTATTAACATGCTCTCCTGCTCCTAACCACGCCCCACCAAAAAACCACCACCAAGTATAGTGTGCAAGACACACATGCCAGGGCTTCATGCTCAAGAGAATGTTTCACAGGACATACACTTTGTCAGACATTACGCTCGGGCAGCCACTTCCTGTTCCATCTCCACTGCCTTCCTCAGTTTCCCCAACTGTGAAATTGAGGTCTGGTAGATTTTTCTTTCTGGGTCCACATCTGTGCTTTATGAGCTTGCTTTCTCTCCTCCACAAAATCTGCATTAGCAGCAAGCTCCAGACTTGCAGCCAGCCTATCCCAGGCTTGCTGGAAGAGGGGACTGTTCATAGTGATGACAGGAGAGGGTGGCCTTCCCCACAGCGGGTCACTAACCCAGAGCTACACCCAATCCCGACACTTTCTCTCCCCACATATACAACACAGCATCCCTACTCCTACTGGAAACTCAACCTGACTTTTGGTTACCTCTGCTCAGGTCCATGCCCCACCCAGCCACCCTAAGCTCAAGTAGCCAAGTGCTGGCCGGCTCTAGCCTCATCCAATTCCCATGGGGTCAATTCACCGACCCGGAGGGTCCCTCGAGGTAAGGGAGCCTGCCTGGCATAGCCATTCCATGTCAACTAGTTCCACAACTGGGGGGAGGGGCCAGAAGGTGGGAGCTGGGCAACCGAAACCTCCTCATCTTTGGCCAGATACCCAGCTGTGATGGCAGTAGCACTCAGACAATCCTCCCTTCCCCTCCTGGCAACCAGAGGGCTTAGAATGTCCTCTTCACCTCTCAGATTGCAGCCCGATCTGGGGGCTTCCTGCCCTACTCCTAATCTTCAAGCCTCAGCCCAAGAACTCACCTGCCACATCCAGGTCCAGTTTGAAGTGGAAAGCGTGTGTGTGCACTGCCCCCAGCACTCTCTCTCCCACGCGGTTCCCAAAGAGGAGGCTCTCCGTTCCTCCACTCAGGAAAGCTGTGTTGATATAGCCCGTGGCATGGACACGCCCTTCAAGCGCCCCATTTGGGTACAACATAAAGTCCCAAATGTAATCATAGTTGCCCACTGATGACACTGACCTGACCACAAGGCTCGAGCTGGCCAAACCACCATAGAAATGACCCCCAATGTAATTGTGGTGCCTTCGAAGGGGTAGTCCCTGGGCCTCCTCAAATACACACACAGCCCCTGGGAGCAGGCGGACTGCCCCTGTACCTGTTAGTACATGGATGTCCATCATTGTGGATTGATAGGGGCAGTCCACCCCCCGAACCAAGGCTCGGCTGTTTCGGCCAAGCCCATAGCTGCTGTCCAAGTAACGGATCATCATCGTCTTGGGGGAATCAGCACCATAAACAGACAGGCACTCTTGGACACTGACTTCATAAGCCACACGCTCACCCTTAAACCGAATATCAAAAAGTCTCAAGCCAGTGAACACCCCATGACCGAAGGCAAATGTCCAGAGGGGGGATACCACTGAGTTTCCCTGTACACTGTACTGGGGACCCTGGGATGAGAACTGTAGAGGAGGAAGAGGGGGGTCTGGAGTGACTCGAGACCTCAGGGAGGAAGCCCCATTTGGTTTGGGTAGAGGGACCTGAACCACTTCTAGGTGGCCAGCCTTAAATTCCCATTCCAGTTGGGCCAAGTCTGCATAGTAGTGCCCAAAGTAGAAGACCTGCCGGACCACCCAGTGGGCAGGGTCCAGGGCCGTGTGGTCCAGCAGTAGCTCCAACCCCACAGGGTGAAGGAACATTCCAAGACCTGAGATGTTATGGTAGAGGGCTATCCAGGTAGCCCGGTCCCCTGAACGGAAGCCACTAGCAGAATGCAGAGGTGCCAACGTGGAGCCATTGTAGTTCAAGACAGAAGCCAGAAAGGTGGGTGCCTTTGGGAACTCCACTTCTTTCAAATACCTCCAAATCTGCACATACTCAGCTGTCAGTGTGGGGCGCCGGTAATAGGGAATAGGGCCACCATGTCGCTCCACAGTCACATCCCGCAGGTAGGATGGGTGAGGCAGGGGCCCCACCACCAGCTCAGTCACATTGGGCTGGGGTTGTGCACCAAAGAAGATGATGGCCAGCGCCTCCCGGGCGGGCGGGGGCGCCCCTCTGTCCAGGTGGGCCAGGGCTGCAGCCTTAGCAGGCAGCTGCAGCTCCACTGAGAAGACGCAGTTGTCCGAGGGCCGAGCCTGGGCTGCATCCACCAGCCCTGGGCCCAGGTGCTTGGTCAGAAAGCTCATCACAGCTGTCAGCTCCTCGGGGCTCAGGTCTGCAAACAGCTGGCTCTGGCCAGGGTGTGTCCAGGGATGAATTCTGGGAGGTATGGAGGGACACCGAGGAGGCTGGCTGGAACTGCTTTGCCTGGTCAGCAAGACATACGCCAGAGCAAGGACAGTAAGCAGAGAGAGCACCAGGAAGGCCAGCAGCACCTTGAGATTCATGGCTGATGCTGAGCTGCAATCAGTCCCAAGAGCCACTCTTTTCTGAGTCTGACTCCACGGCAGGGCTTATATTCAGCATGGTGGAGAGGAATGGACAAAACTCCACCCATGGGCTGGACAGAAAATTTCTGTCCTGTGGTTTGGCTCAAGATGTTCCTTCCACAGGCACAGCTTGTTCCTTCCCTAGACTCCGACTGCTAACTATGACATTCCATCATTTAGACAACTACCTTGTAACCTTCACCAGTTCTGAGAAGGCGACTCTGATGTACAATCCTTTCCTTGTGTGTAACACAAGTTCTGGTAAAACGCCTGTCTGGCAGAATGACGCCCCAACCAGCAGATCCCGGATCCTCTGCCCAGTTCAGTGTTAAGCACTCAGCTCTACCTGGAACCTAATGCAGTACCTGACATGGGAATCTCGGGCCTTATTCTATCCAGTCAGTGAGAAAATATTGGTTGTGGTTCGGGACTTCGTGTTCAGATTTGTACAATGAACTCATCTAAGTTGTATAGCCTTAAAGGAACTACTTATCTTGAGTTTCTTGCTTATAAAGGCACAGTGGGGCATGGTCACTTATGTCTACAATCTTAGCACTCAAAGAAGATTATTGGGAGTTCAAGACCAGCTAGACTACACAGTGAATTATAGGTCAACCTCAGTGACAACCTGTCTTAAGACATAAAACCTGCCTAAAATAAAACATAAAAGTATTCTATACATTTTGATTAAAATGTAGTAATACAGCCAGACGTGGTGGCACACGTCATTTAATTCTAGCACTCAGGAGGCAGAGTAGGTGGATCTCTGAGTTCAACGCCAGCCTTGTTTACAACGTGAATTCCAGGACATCTAGGACCGTTACACAGAGAAAACCAAAAAATAAAATAAAATAGCTGGGTGGTGGTGGTGCGTGCCTTTAATCCCAGCACTCAGGAGGCAGAGGCAGGCGGATCTCTGAGTTTGAGGCCAGCCTAGGCCACAGAGTGAGTTCCAAGATAGCCAGAGCTGTTAAACAGAGAGACCCTGTCTTGAAAAACCAATAGAATAAAGTAAAGTAAATGTGGTCATACACACAGGTGCTCAGTAATCCCACAGGGAGGCAGGCACAAGCTGCTTGCTAGCTAGTGGCACACTAAGCTCTGGGACAGAACAGATAGATGTCCCTTCCTTGCTGGCAACCTTAAAGCTCTGCAGACAAAGTCTTACTGGAAAAGGGGAGGGTATTTTATTTCAGAGGGACATGAGCCTCCTATGAGCCCTTTGAGTCATTTTAAACCAATCCCTGGGGTCCCCTCAAAGAAGTTCAAGCATTATGTAGAAAGGAAAGTTATTATGACGGAAAAAGGAAAACTAGACAGGGCGAGCCTGAGACGCTGTTCCCACACGGAGCCACAGCGACCTCTGCTGGTAGCTCATGGGTATCACCGGGAAGGATGGACAGAGGCAGCCTCAGTTCCTGGAAAGGCTTTTACAGAATTCAGCTTCAACACAAAGCAGGAGCCACCTCCTCCCTGGTCAGAGGCTTCACTCCTGCCACCATGATGAGAAAAGGAGCATTCAATAGCAAATGTACACACAACAGATTGGCCTGAGCATCTGTGAAAGTGGGTGTCTGAATGCTCACACATGCCCACTATGTCCCTTCGTCATCAGAGTACCGCACCAGGGCCTGCAGCTTTAGAAAGAGGTCAAAGTACCTGTATTTTTAATAATTTCTTGACATGGTAAAAGAATTGTACATTACAATCCAAGGGTGGTGGGGTGAGGAGGGGCAGTGGACAGTCAAACAAAAAGGGAGGCCGAGAAACACATGGCGGGAGGAGGGGAGGGCTCAGCTGAGGGATCTGAGGGTGGGTAGGAGTACTGCCCAACTAAAATGCAATTGGTTTGTTACTGAGCACTATTCATGGGAAGAGAGCATCCTGACTCCTCCTTTCCTATCGAATACTGGGAGTGAAAATGATGCATCCCAGGTGGAGTATGATTGAGAGTTGGAAGACAGGAATAAAAGCCAGAGAGACACTGAGAGTCACTGGCAGGTTAACTGCAGATACCAACTCTCACTTAAAAAGCTGGCGGTTGATGGGGTTAACACAAAAGCTGTAACAAGTGGTATCTCTGGAAGATTCGAAAGAGGAGACAACTCTTCTATGGGTTTGACCTTCGCAGCATATTTATACACACACACGAACACACACACACACATGTGCACGTGTGTGTGTGTGCACAGACACATACACACGAATTTCTGCTTTCCCTGGAAGCACAATACTATAAATATGAGAACTCTTTCCCAAAGGGAAAGCACAGCGAGGGTCAGCAGCCTCTGGACCGCACAGCTGCCCACACCCTAGCTGATGCACAAGCAGGCCTGGCAGAAGGGCAAGGGGGGCCAGAGGGCCAGCTTTTGCATAACACAAAGGAACCCGAGTCACAGAGGGAAGGCAGGCCTTCGGGAGCCCTCTGCTCCTCGGCTCTCCTTCAACTCACCCTGGGCACCAACGGCTACATTATCAGAAGAGAGGGTAGTCCTGGGACTTTGCTGGGTGGACGACTAAGACAACTGTCACCTGGTAAGGTGTTGCGTGTGTGACAGGGGCTGAGGGGACAGTGGTGCAGGAAGGAAGGCTATGTTCTATAAGGGAGCAGGAAGCATGTATACATGTCCCTAGGCGTGTGTACATGCGTACACATGTATATGTGAAAACCCCAGTTATAAAAACATCCAAAGGAGCTCTAGGGATGCAGCCGAAGGCCTAAGGTATCCCTTGTCATGGTCAGGCTCAGGTGGGATCGAGACGGGTGGAACGCCCTGAGGCATCACCAGGGCAGCTGTGGTAGGGAGGACCCAAAGTCCCCCAGAAGCGAGACACTGGCCTCGTGACAGGAAGAGATGTCCCTTCCACCGCCACCCCCCAGTTCCGAAGACACCTAATGCTTTCCCTAGGTCCTCCAGCTTTAACTGACTAACCATTGAAAGGAAGAAAACACAAAACTTAAAACAAGGGAAGGAAGGAAGAGAAGAAAAAAAAAAACAAGAACCCCACGATTATTCTTGTGCCAGTATCTTGCACAAACCTGGAGTTCTCCAGAAATTAGGACAGGCTGGGTGTGGGGTTTGGGGGAAAGAGATCGAAGAGTTCCTGAGGCCTGAAAAAAGAGGTAAACACATGGCAGAACTAGATGAGAGCTTCATTAGACTCTAACTAAAAACAGAGAGGTGTGGTTACTACTTCCAGCCAGTTTCCCCATCACGATAGTCATGTAACAAACCAAGGCAATGTCGGTCTTGAGCCAGACTCACAGAGTCCCCTGGCCCTGGCCCTGGCCTCAGTACAGTGTCTCTGCATTGCTGCTCCGGGGCCGTTTGATTTTCTCAATATTCTTCAGGATCATGTCATGGAGAGTGACCTGGGAAAGGAAAGGTCAGGGGATCACTCATTTCTTCAACCTCTACCTCATCAAGCAATCACTCACCTTATCCTCCTCTATCACCTGACGCAGTGAAGGGGCAACACTACTTCCTCTGCTCCCTGAGCTGGCTCCAAGTGTTAACCACACAAGAGGCGTAAGAAGTCCTTTAGTATGCGGCCTCATTTACTGCTAAAAATCATGTTTGGAGTCAGCAATCTAACTCCCATTTCAGAACAGAAACTGAAGTCTGAGCTTGAACATGATCAAGATCACACTTTCCAGCAGCCAGGATCAGGAAGTGCTCTCGCAGAGGACCCACTAACTCCAGCCCGGGGATCTGACACCTCCTTCTGGGAGGCCCAGGTGCCTGCGCTCTCACATGCACACATACTGACACACAGAATTTTATCACAGCACTGGGGGACAAGAGTCAGTGGATCCCTGTGACTCTTGACACCAACATAGTGAGCTCCAAGCTACAAAGTGAGACTGGGTTACAAAGTGAGACCCTGTCTAAAAACCAACAACAAATTAAAACAAATAAATCGCCCATTACATGAGGACCCTGGTTACAAAGCCATCGTTCTGATTCCGATACCCCACGCGTGACCATCCATATGCCGTACACCAACCCCACCTAGACAGAACAGCAACTCCCAACTAGACTCCTTCAATGTGGTTAAGCTCTCCACACCCAGCTGATGAACAGCTGTTTATGTAACCCAGCGGGCCTCAAATTCTGGATCCTTCTGCTCAATCTCCGGAGCAGTTGGGATTATAGGCAGCTACCACGCTGGCCATTCCACTCATTTTATTCTGAGCCCCAGTTTTCAAGAAATCACCATGGAACTAAGAGGAGCCAGGACAGCTATGGGCAGGGACTGACTTTACTCACATATTGATTCCTCAGTTCTGAGATGATGAGCCGAAGGCTGATGTATTCTTTCTCATCAATCTCTGTGACAGTGCGACGATAGTCCTCCTGCACAGGAAGCAGGGAGGCTAGTCTTCCAGGCCCAACGCCTGTCGACAGCTCATTCCTAGCATCTTACCTATCCTGCCACCCCCCCTCCAGACCACAAACCCCTACTTACCACATGGGGATATTTAGCTATTTTAGAAACCAATTTGGCTCTTGTAATATAATATCTGGAGGGAGGGAAAAAAAATGAGAAGCAGTTGAAGGGGACCCTGAACATGTCTCCCACTTCACCAGCCAGTTTTCTGGGTCCAGCCCAAGCAGCCCTACCTAGAAATCTGGTCCAGATAAGATGCAGCTTCACTCTCGACAGTTCTTAGTTCTGCAACTGTTTCCTCCTGCAGGGAAGGACAGGCAAGTCAGGTTCCTTCCGTGCTACCTACAGCAGCACTGAAGACCAAAGCAGAGAGACCAAGCAGGAGAAGCAGATCCCCGTTTGTAGCAAACACATTACCTGAATAGACACCCCGAAGTTGTTCCCGTCTTCTATTCTGGGAATCAAGAGCTGTACCCACATTTTGACCTAGAGTGTGAGAAGAAGAAATGAATGGAGAAGGACCTTGGGCTTTCCTGTTAAAGCCATGAAATACACGATACTTGTTGCTGGGGACAGATGCCAGAAACAAAGGAATCAAGAAACTTAGCCTGCCAACCCCACCCATCATTTCATAGCTCAAGCGAAGCTATTTGGGTTCAGCCATAGGTCACTAGGCCGTCTCACCGTGTTACATTTCTCGATGAGCAGCCGAATCTCAGGCTTTACTTTCTCAATAATGTCCACCAGCTGCTGGTTGCTTTTCAGCATCCCATTGGGCATCACAAACACCTTGGTTCCTGAAAGGTACATCGAGGTCACATGTTCAGGGCAGTGGAAAAGTGAAAGCCCCTTCATCTTTTCTCTTCCTCAGACCTAGAAGATGTCATGACCTTTGCCTTTTATCTTTCACAATGCTAAATGACCCCACTGCCCCTTAATTCATCAGGTAACTGCTGCTGCTACTCCAGGGGGCAAATGACACAGAACATGGACTTCTGTGGTAACTGTGAGGTGTGGCTCATGCCTCCAAGCAGTCTCTGTGGCGTCTACCCTAAGTCAGCTCCTCCTGGTGTACTAGACTAATGATCATTGTAGGAAGGTGCCAGGTGTTGATCCCGAGAAATTAAATCAGAGCTCAGCTGGTGAAAACCAGAACCATGCTACTTCTCAGGACTGCTAGTCAGCCTAGATTAGAGGGCAGCTCTTACCTTGGAAGGCCTCTTCACATTCATCCAATCTGCGCTTCTTGTAAGTGGGCTAAGGGTATAAGGAAGTAGGAATTAGCTTGCATTTAACACCACATGGCCATTACAAGATATTAAACAAGCAAGTTTAATTCCTTCCTGGACCCCATAGGTTATCGTACTAATTTCTGCACCAATACATATAAAGCTTTTAAAAGAGGTTCTTGCCACAAAGAAACTTACA